TGAGGCAGAACCCTTCGGCGCAACTCGCTCCACTCTGTCGTCCGCAGGTTTGCAGAACGATCACAAGGCCCTGATGAAGCAGGTGGAGGAAGCTCTTCACCAGTTGCACGCCCGGGAGAAGGAGAAGCACGCCAAGGATGAGGCGGAGGCGTTGGCCGAGGCCATGCGCCAGACCCAGAGCCTGCCACCGGCGTTTGCCAAGGTGAACGCCGTGACTCCAGGATCTCCCGCAAGCGTCTCGGTACGTTGGGGTCTGTCAGCTCGTGGGGAAGGCTGCTGGGCCCAGAGAGAAAACGTGGCAGATGTCTCCTGTTAATAAGTGCGAATATTTTGGGGGTTTCATTAGGGTTCCCCCCTTTTTTTTTTGGTCACCCTGGGATGCCCTGTGTAGAGGCCAGTCACAGGAGTGAGATGAGTAGCCTTTTCTCAGCTGTACCGTTGTGCCACGCGGCTCCTTCAAGGCCTCACTGACCATTCTAGCCTCAGTATGTCTCTTCCCATAGAGCAGGACGAGGCGTGAGTACTTCCTTCTTTCTAGGGACACGGAGGGGCTCTGGTGGAGTCTGGTTGCCTGGATGGGAGAAGCGTGGCGGCGCAGCACACCTCTCCCCGTGCGGCCGGGTGAAGGGCGACGCTGCAGCCAACAGGCAGGTATTACCTGTCTTTGGAGAAGGCAGGTGCTGACATTCCTTCTCTCTCTGTCCAGGGGCTGCAGGTCGATGATGAGATTGTGGAGTTTGGTTCGGTCAACGTCAACAACTTCCAGACCCTGCAGAACATCGCCACAGTGGTGCAGCACAGCGAAGGGGTGAGCTCATTTCCGCTGTAACTGCATTCTCCTGCCTGTCTGACTACAGCTTTTTCTATGGAACGTAGACCTCTGGGATCGTCATTTCCATGTCAGAAACAGTGTCAGATTCAGTCTGTTCTGTTGTAGCCTTGTTCTCTGACAGCACAGAGCTAATTCCTGCAGGACAGAAGGCAGCGGAGAGGTGTGTGCTCTTTGCTGTGAGCATTGTACTGTCTGTTCTCCCTGCAGCAGCAGGCTGTGTTGCTGTGCCACCCTGGGGGACTGGCCCACAGTCCTCAGTCACCTCACGGTGCAAGTGAGAGATCACCTGGGAGGTCTCCGCACCAAACGATTTCTTTCAGATCTAGCTGCAGGGGTGGGCGACGCTGAAGACTTCCCTGGGCCTAATGTTCTTCTGGTGTTTCAGCAAGAGAGCGAAGAGGGTTGACTTGGTGATGGAAAGTTGCTGTCCTTTATTCTTATATTTCTTTTTTTCCCCTTGCTTTCAGAGGCCACTGAGTGTGACTGTGATCCGCAGCGGCAAAAAAGTGCACGTGGGGCTGACTCCGAAGCGCTGGGCTGGGAAGGGTCTCCTGGGGTAAGCTGCTGTTTCACTTAGGAGAGGGATGAGGCTTTCGCCCGGCTCTGAGCAAGTTTCCTGCCGCCGGGCCGGCTCTGTGCTTCGCTCTCGGTGCGTGCTGCTGCCCGCTCGGAGGGGCTGCGCTGGCAGGTACCAGCTGAGAGCTGGAGGCTGGCGGTCTTGTACGGTGATACGGTGAGGAGAGTCGTGTGAAACGTGAGCCGGGAGGAAGGGCTCGGGCTGGTTTGTCTGGTAGTGGAAACTGATGGAGAAGGGTTGTGGTGGGTCTGATTAATGCCACGTCAGCTCCTCTGTGTCTGTTTGAGAACTGAGACTTTTACCCTCTTATTTTGCAGCTGCAATATCATTCCCTTGCAAAGATGACCATTGCTTGGAAAACAATAAAGCTCAAGCTTGTGCCTGCTTTCTGGACTCTGATCTGGTTTGAAAACCTCCCTAGGTGTTTCGGAGGCCGTGAGCCCTAAGTGCCTGACTGAAGAGGTTCTGGTAGAGCAGGGTTCGCCTGCGATTCAGAATCGCACCGGTTCATCGCCAGTAGCTGGCAGAGTCGCAAGATGCGGCTCCTCATCTCTTGCACTTTGTATCAGTTGGGAATGAGGCTGCAGATGGACCCAAACTTCACTTGATACAGGCTCCAAAGAGCAGGAAATGCTCTTGGTGCTAACGAAGCATTCCTTCCCCCACCTCCCCTTTAAATGCCTCCCTGAACATCTTGTAATACATGCTAAAAGGTCCCAGAGCACTTTTTGGTGTCTTTAATAGTAAATTGCAGTCAAGAAATATGCAAATTTGCTACTTCATCTTCCCCATGTTCCCACAACTTTTGAAGTCACTAAACTTGATGGAAGGATCTTTGGAATGCCTAATTGTTTGAAGTTAATGAGATAAGGAATAGGGGCTATAATTCTACTTTGATTTACTTTAAGTAGTTTAGGAGTACTTCTGTCATGACTATACAACCTGGCTTCTCTCTCATTTTTTTAAGTCTTTTTTTTATTTGCAGTGGTTGGTTTTAGGGTGTATAAACTCTTTGAGGGGATTTTGGGGACGAATGGTTTGTTTTAAGATTGCTTCCAGTTGAACTTCAAAATACTCTCCCAAAACAATAAAGCTGAGTAACACCTGTCTCCATTCTTGTAGAAGTTACTATTTTGGGCAGTAATGGTGGGCCAGGTTGGGGGGGTTAAACGGAGATCTGCACAGACATCACTCTCTGACCCTCCAGAGCCGCAGCCCACATAAGGTGTCAGTCGTTCGTTAGTGCTGCAGAACCAGGTTGCGGCCTAAGTAACACGTCACACGTAATGAGCAATTTTTATTAAACAGGCCCAAAATAGACTGAAAAAGTGGCCTTAAACCCCAGACATTTAAATCCATCGCCCAGGACTCTGCGTGAAGTTGTGTAGGTTTACTCCTTTGATACTTCAAGCGTTTGTATTTTGGGTTACAAAGGGCAGATTCTCACGGGAGCGGCGAAGCTTCGGGGCGGAGCTGCTGGCCCCGCGGTGCCCGCAGCCTTCGTGGCACTGGCACGGCGGAGGAGGCGGCATGGCCGCGGCCTGTGGCCGTGTTCCTTGGATGAGGCT